CCTTTAAAAATACGATTGTTGTTAGAAATGAGGGCGGCTGACCATCGCCCTGGCTGGTTTTGCTCCGCGCATAGAACGTGGGCTGCGGACTGAAGAGTCCAGGTTCGATTCCTGTCAAGGGCACAAGCCTGGGTTGCGGGCTTGGTCCCAGTGTGGGGCCTGCAGGAGGCAGCCATGCAGGAGGCAGCAGATCAATGATTTTCTCTCATCGTGGATGTTTCTATCTCTCTCCCTCTCGCTTCTTCTCCGATATCAATAAAAATATATTTAAAGAAAAGAGGAAAGAAAGACAGGAGGGCTGTTACACTTCAGGAAACTTGGTGCCACTGTTTTGATAACGAGGTCTTGTGCCATAAACGCAGCACAGGGCACATGCTGAGGTTCTTACCGTCACCAGCAAAGGATTTGGGGGAGATTCTGTGAACGTGAGCAAGCAATGCACACTGGTCTCTCCCCAGAGCACTGTGACCGCACACACTTCTCTCTGCATCACAGCGATGGTCAGAGAAGTTCTCCTGACAGACACCATGAGCGTCAGCCCAGAGATGCGGCGGACCCTTCTTCGGGGCTGTAGACTGAGGAGGGGACGCACAGCGGGTGGGGTGCCTGCCTCTAGTTCCACCCCAGAGGCCCTGAGCAGAAATGATGGCTTCAAGAGGCCTTTTTCCCCTAAAATGTCTGTGATCATCAAACCAACACCCACCCATTGTAAGCAATTTGAAAAGCAAAGGGAAGTTGAGGCAGCAAAGGATCCATCTAACCTCCTGGAGATGGTGACTTTTCATGTTATTTTTATTTGTTTAAAGGTTTTGTTTCCTTTGGAGCACACACACAGAAAGGTGCATGTAAAGAGCATCCACACACCCTGTCCCCAAGCGCACCTGTGCGACCATTTCCCCACTCCCTGCACAGCACCCATCGCTGTGATTGTGTGAGAGACGGGCCTGGCCGCCCTGTGACTGCCGTCCCCCAGCCCCCAGGGGGCAGGCCACGCGGGCAGATACTAATTCACACCGTGGGGCGTGGTGCTCGGCATCTCCCGGCATCCTTCCCACAGCAAGCGGGGCTCTGACGGGCCGGCTGGCACAGGTGTGGCTGCGCCAGTGTGCGGGCAGCCTGCCCAGCTCTGTGTCCACATGGGGCATGTACCACGGCTCCCCTGTGCTATTTAAAATATATATATATATATATTTCTCTCAGAGAGGAAGGCAGAGGGAGAGAGAGATAGAAACATCAGTGAAAGAGAGAATTAAAGATCAGATGCCTCTTGCACGCCCCACAAAGGGGGTCGAGCCCGCAGTCCGGGCATGTGACCTGACCGGGAATGGAACCGTGACCTCCTGGTTCATAGGTCGATGCTAAA